AGCACGGTCTTCATTACGCATTCCCATCCATCCCTCGAAAACGTTTTCCGATAGGAACTTTTAATAGCCACAATTTGAAAGTTGCCCGTGGAAAGACACCCTGTAATCCGAACTCTTTTCGTCTGTCTGACGGATCGAAAGATTGAAAGATTGACGTAGACTCTTCGAGTAATAACATTCCCGTTGGAAGAAAAAGTTGGTTAGTTTTGTCGGGGAATTTGGTCGTTGCATAGAAATTTATCTCGATATGAGACATCGTAGATGCGTGCAGATGTTGAACTTTCATAAATGATATTCGTAGAAGTTCTACAACTCTGAGATTGATCAGTCGTCACTGCCCATGATAGTGAAAGGAACTGACAGATAATCAATCGCCGTTCTTAAGATCTGAAATTGAAAGAGACAATCATTCCTTGTATTTTTTTACTTCTGTTTCTCCAAAAATCGTTAAGCAAATGCAATTTCATTTTAAGTATGTTACAGTGCACATAGGAACGCCAAACTGATGGATGTCCACCCCATATCTCTTCTTACTGGACTTTGTTATATATTGCCAAAGTCACTACCTATAATATGTTTGGTACGTATCTTAATTCTTAGTTTCTTTTCATCTTTTCAGTATCCTGTCCAATTTTCTCTTTAATTCTCCCATCAATGATCTCCTTCAATGAAAAGTAACTTCAAATTCAAAAGTTCAAATCAAAAGAATTTCAAAGTTGCAAGTAACGTTGAACAATCAATTAATTCTCTAACAGACAATAGAGTTTCCTTGTTCACCAGTTCAGATGTTCACGTCTCTTGACGATCCAAGTCAGCTCCTCCTGAATGTCGCTAGATTTTTTTATTCCAGCCGCCTCGTCCATCAAGTTTTCTAATTTTCTATTCAAATTTTGGAACTGTCCGTAGGTGTGCAACACTAGCATAGCTATGAAAATATCGACGCCGGTGTAGGGGATGGTTGCGCAGTAGGCAGCGAACACTTGAGCCACGTTCGCTATTATCCTGAACGAGGTCTGTCTCATATCGAAAGGATAGTATCCTGGATAAATGACTAAATAGTCCTGGAGCTCCTTGGTTACGTCAGTTTTGGCAATCGTGAACGTCCGGATGCTGATATAGGCGGTCACCATGCACTGAATGAAAATAGTACACCAGACGGATAAAGATTTCGAGAGTTTCGCGCTGTTCATCATCGTTGTACTCTCTTCCTCGGTCTTCGAAGCGTACCAGTCGTCGTAAAACGATTTAATCAAAGGCATGAGATCTTCGAACATAAATTGAAGTCGTTGGTATTCGAGAAATCAAGATGAACAATTGTAATTAATTATACTTTGTTTTATGAAAGAAGGGCCCTTGTCACATTATGAGATAGAGTATGGTGAGCAATAATTTTTACCTCAAAAAATATTAATCATATACGGTTCGATCTTTCTTTATATTAATCAGAAGAAATTGACCTTCTTAAAGAAATTATAGTGTCAGTTTTAACATTATTACCGAACAACATCATGATAAATAAATTTTTATTTATTGTATTCATGGTTTTCTATGTAGGAAGAACGTAATATAGGTCGTAACGTTTAATTAATACTTCTTTAACGATCTCTACCATGTATATGAAGACTGGAGTTAGCCCCCACCCTTACAATAATTCTTTAAACATTCTTCTGACTGACTAACATTGGCGACCTTTATTTATAAATAGGTCAGCCTCGACAGCAGAGAGCTCAGTTTGTCGTGAACTCTTGAACTGTGAGAACTGGGAAGGATCAGTAGACACTCCTGAAATCGCCTGGACCTTCGTGGATCTTCCTGGACTTCTCTGGCCATCAGTGGCCTACTCCTAGCTCCACTCTTGAACACTGGTGGCTACTACTGACCATCACTGCCCACTACTGACCATTACCGTCCGATTGAGATCAATGCAGATCCATGATGCCCATTAGCTATGAGTGCAAACCAGTGATCTTCAACCCAATCTGAGCCATATACCGATTGCAAGCAGCAATCGCTACATAGCTTGGGAGGAGCCGAGGACTACTCATTGGCATTCATCAGTGCTGGCCACCATGGATCTGCATTAATCTCTACTGATCGGGGGTAGTCAGTACTGGTCACCAGTGTCCCAGAGTGAAGGTAGGAGTAGACCACTGATGCCCAGAGAGGTCCAGGACAGTCCAGGATAGTCCAGGATAGTCCAGGATAGTCCAGGATAGTCCAGGCGATCTCAGGAGGGTCTGCTGGTCCTCTCCGATCCTCACAATTCAAAAGTTCACGGCAAACTGAGCCCTCAGCTATCGAGACTGTTCCCTATATGGGCGAAGGTCCCCGACGGCAGTGGTGATGTTCTTGACGTCGTCACGCTTACCGGATCACATTTTTACGGAGTAGTATTTCGGTCGTACCAGAGGAAAAAATAAATTGTCCAAAAAGCAAGTTTTCCGTAAATCATTATATTTTATTATATGCAAGGAAGTTATATACATTTTTATTAAGGTTCTAATATTCTCATGTGGGAATGTAATTTTAAATTGAAATAATCTTCATAATTAATACAGAAAAATTGTATTTCAAGTAAAAATAGCGTACATTAATGTGTTTGTGAGATTAAATGTTTTGATATTACATTATTTAACTAAAAACATTGTAATTTAAATGAATATGTAATGCATGATATTATTGAAGTACAATTTTTTTGGTCATTTAGGTAAATATATAATGAATAAAACTAGTTTCAGATAGAAATATGTACATTATTATGTTGTATGATAATTTATAGGATAAGCCCATCTATAATAAGATGTTGATTGATTTATATCCGCGATTTATGGAAATTATGTTTTGTAATATTACATTCGGTGAAAATTATTCCCATCGTTCAAACATCCCCGCCGCATTCATTTGTTGTCGCCAAGTTGTGTAACACAGTTGTTGTATATGTCTACCATATCGCCGGCAGCTGCTATTCAGTTCAATCGCTTGTTATCTTACGAACTCTTTTCTTCGAAGCATTCGAAACTCCATTCTGGCTCTACAGCTCAAAGTTTTTGTCAGTGAATAATGGCATGCTTGTAATGAAGATGTTATAGAAGATTGTAATTGTGAAATTCAATATTGTAAATCAAAGTTAGACCAGTTCAAAATGTTATCTTGTTAAATAAAATACTTACATCAGGATTGCGCACGAAGAAACGCACTGAAGTAGAATTAAATCGCCAGTTGACCTCGTATTATTCCCTAATGATCTGCCAATATATCGAAAAATTACAAACGCATTCGTTACATATAACTTCTACAAAGACATTTAAGGATTAGTTATTCTTACTCCAAATGTTCTTCTAATAAATAAAGAAGAATCTTTCTAATAAACATATACCTTCACAGGACAACGTAAGTAACTCTTTGTTGCTTAAATCCAGGGAAAAAACGAAGGTGAAGGTTTTTCCTTTCTAAAAGACATCCATCAAAGAAAAGTCCAGTCTGAAAGAGAAAACCGTTGAAATGAAATTGACTTTGAGGAGTATCAAGGAATCGCCAGGGATGTTTTTTGTTCACCGAATTGTTGAAAACTTGTCTTGAGTAGCCGTCTGGATGCTTAACAATGCCTGTCAGAAAGTAAGATTTAGTTATGAATGTTATTATTGAATATTGAACGCTAAGAAAGATATTATAGAAGTTAAAAATGTTTGGTTCATTTGTATTTCATATTTATAAAATACTTTTACCCGGAAAGTTTCAAATTTCAAGAAACCGTAATGAAAAGATTATTTATAAAACATGATATCGAAACAGTGGGCGACAGGTTAGCAAACAGGTATTTACTATACGCCCCACATATTAGTTCCATTGGTCTTAGGTTTGAAAGGAAGTGCTCAGAAGCAAAGGGAACTCTTCCATTCACGTCGCTCGAATCGCCCCGACTTTCGGCGCATGGTCATTGGTACGCGCCGAGTCCCGAGCGTTGTGAGTGGAGGAGTCCCCTTTCCTATGTGCACCTTGAAAGCAAACGCCGATGGAGCTAACGCAAGGGGCGGAGTATAATTAACATATTATTAAATACAGGTTTGCGTATGAAGAATTGAGATCGCCGAAGCAATGGAAGCAATGGTGTAACTGTCGAGAAGGAATTCGATCGCAAGACGTTCTCAAGCCGGTCAACAAAGAATTGAATTTCGGCAAATTCCTTCCAATGCTTCAGCAGATCAATTCGCAGCTAGCATTGCAAACAAAAGAGAGTAAACTTTCCGAAAAAGTCCAGATGAATACTTCTCAGATGAGACAATGTTTTAACAGAGGTGGTGGCAGACGTTCTAGTTGAGTATCTGAAGATGCATCTCAACTTATATTGAAATTATGAATAACTTCAAGTAATCAGGAATGTGCCATGACAAGATTCTTAAGAGTTTTCTGAAAATCGTTAACTATGTAATCAGTGAATTAAAAACAAGATGTAATTCCACAATAATGTGAAAAAGTATTTCCATAGGAATAATTCATTGAACTTACGAAATTGAAGCAGTAAAACAATGGCGCCATCTCTGTAAAAATGCTGAAGGCGCTAACAATTTAACAACATCGTGATAGACACGAAATCCGTACAAACATTTTTCCACTAAGATTTTTTATTGATTCTGATTTAAATCATTGATCACCCGATCCTTCCTCGATGATACAATATACAGTTTTCTATCTGATACTTCGAAATATCGATGCACTAACCAGAAAACAGTCAGCTGCTGAACTACACCAGCCTGCAAAGTCAAAAGTGTATGTTAAGTGTCAGAAGACTGACGCTAGGTTTTCTACTTTACAAAGGAATACAATTCACCTGTGATAGCTAAAGCCTCATTTCAAAGTGTTCAATGTGATGACAATAGATTCTGAATCCACAATCGTTAGCTCGACATGATCCTTCACAAAGGGTACTGTCAACAATACGGATTAGCCGGATCAAAGCATTTGAAGTATCTGCTATTGTAGAACCAAACAGGTGAATGGAACAGGGTTTTATGGGTGTAATAATAAGTTTAAGAGAAATTACGTTGAAGAAAACCGGGCCTAACTAAATTGGATCCACTTACCCGCTTTTCCTAACCTATTAGTGATCGGAATGCTAACGATCGTAATGTGTACTGATCTCCCTACATGTCCTCTTGTTTGAGGTTGATACCTAAATAAATGAGACCATCCCTCGATGATCCATGTCATTATTTGTCAATTGAACTGTAAATAAATCCATGTATCCCATGTTAGATGATCGAAGTCCTTCTTCAGGCTGCAGCTAAGTGTAGAAAACAATTCTAGGGTGCAACATCGCTGTTTTAATTTCAGTTCTTAGAGGTCACGTCAGTAGTTGCAATTTTGTTTAGTGGTACCCATGATTGTCTCTAGGAAAGATGAATAAGAGGAAGGCGGATTATCACTTGAGAGAGAGAAAGTGCTACTTTGCAACACATACCATGATGATCGAATCGTGACAATCGATACATGAATTGTACTAGAATGTTCTGGGATGTTTTAATCCCGCCACTTTAATTAATTAGAGCCCTATCAAATGTAATGAAAAGTTGATTTCAGTATTTTGCTATAAAATAATTCTATATGTGTGCAATTAACAAATCATTTAAAAACAAAGTATTATCTTCAGAAAATTAAAAATTGTTAATTT